GGCCCATCAACGGCCGCAAAAAACAACAACTTTACAACAAAAACAACAACCTCTTTGGCGTGCCAACTTGGACCGTCCAATTTTGGTCCCGGCCTTCTAGGCCTGTTTCTATTTATAAGATAACATCCCTCTACCTTGATTTGTACGGTTTGTACGGGCCGTTATTTCAGAATTTTTTTTTGCGGCCCACCAATGGCCGCAAAAAAAAACAACTTTAAAACAACTTCACCCTCTTTGGCAGCTCTACTTGGACCGTCCAATTTTTTCTATTTCGATCTCTCTATTTCTATTTATAGTAAAAAATCCCTACCTTGATTCTATAGAATTTCATGGCCATCAACAGGGCAATAATGCAATTCATCGTGTACGGCGTTATTGGATTTTCCTTGCGCAGCTCATTTAGGGCATTCATGAAGGCACGTTGAATTACCGCACCATGTGTATGTGATAAAACACCAAGCACTTCGGTGAATCGTTCGGTTACCATCAAATAGCTGTTGTATTTTGAACCATACGATGAACTGTAACAATTCGCCAAGGTTCAGAAGTTACAAAATTTTGTAATTTATCCAATTTCCTCCATTTTCGGTGAAAAAGTCAAAATTCTTTTGTATTTGTCAAGACCAACGTTAAGGAACAAAAATGTGCACGTGATAGCACAATGATTCCTGATTCATGATAACAGTAATGAAGATAATGACAACAGTACAGTAGTAAATAATGAAAATAATGATGACGACAAAAATAACGATAATAATAATAATGACAACAGTAGTAATGACAATAATAATAACAATAATAATGATAATAATAACGATAATAATACGCAATAAAGCAGCATTAATAATAATAAGATTGCTGGCATAATAAATCATACGACATTCTCATTAAATGACAGCATTAAAAACACCATAGCCCTTCAAAATTTTATTGTTTTCTTGTAATCCTACTACTGCAGCTTCCAGTTATCTTGAAATAAGGCTTTATTTTCCAATCAAACCGATAAATAAGGTGAATTTTCATGCC